TTCCTAACCTTCCTTTTCTGCAATTATTATCCTGGACTTTGAATATGAGATAAATATTTTAAAAATATTTCTAATGAGCACAATGCTCTGACCTCTGCTTTTGCAGGCAAATGTGTGGCTGTAAATGGTAAAAAACCAAAAAGCACCCCTCCAGAAGAAATACTTTTGTCTCAGCTGGTTTCAGCCTCAGGTACAGACAGACTTCCATGGGAAGAAGTCTCTATAGTTCCTCTGGAGGTGCAAGAGTTGGACACAAAACCTTTGGGGTTTGACTTTGGAGATCTGTGGATATTTCAGGCCAAAGGCAGACTTCATCCACCACTGCACTTTGGACCGAGCAGCTTTGGGAGGGCTTTGGTCCTGAGCCTTTTGTCCCTTAGGGATGGGAGTGTCCCACAAACCCAGTCTGGCCAGGCCCAGCTGCTGCAGGATCCCAGGCTCCCTAAAGGGGAGTCTTCCCAGGAAATCCCTTCCTGCCTTCCCACAGCCAGCCCATGTCCTGCTGCTCCCTGAGCCACAGGCAGCCAGGCATCCTTCAGCACGGGATGCTGGCAGAGACAGGAAGCCTCTCTTTTCATGGAGAGGACACAGCTCAAGTGCCTTGGCTTCAGGTTTCAAATGACCATTGTAAACCCACACTTTTCCTATTTTGGTTATGCCACTCTTTTCAGACTGAATGGAGACACTGGGTGCTAAAGCTTGCCTTTGCTAGCAGAAGCAGACTCTAGAAACAGTTGTGCTGTTATTTTTTCAGTTATCTTGGCTTCCTTAATATCATTCTTTTCTATACGGGTACCTTACTCTGCTTGATTCTCTTTCACTTTGAACCTCCACTGATGCTGAGGATTCCACACATTTTTTATCACACTGTGCAAAATGCTGCTGGAATCTTTGAGCAGACTCTTGGTGACAGCAAAAGGTTGTTATTATCATCCCCCTTGTACTGTGTCTCCAGGAACCCATGCAGATGCTTTGTAGCCACCCGTTTTGCACTGGAACCTGAAGAAATCATGTTGCTGTGCTCACTACCACAGCATTTCTAAAAGAGGTGCCTTTCTAATTGTCCCTTTTAGAGCTGGTGCCTGTTTAATGCAGTGCTTTCAGGAGGGTTTGCAGTGATTTGCCCCAATTTCTGTGCCTCACTGTGCCTCACACTGGGGCTGCTGCCTGGCACAGAGGTGAAACCATCCAGCTGAAGGGAAAAGGCTTTGCCAGGTTGGAATGCAGAAAGCAAAGAATTTCATTCACCGAGGGCAGTGACCAAAGAGCTGCACCCACACTCTGTTCCAGTCACCCAATTCCTCTGCTCCTGTCATTCTCAGGGACCTTAAAACCACATGGAGCTTCTGTGACCCCAATCCTCCATCATTAGAGGCAGAGAAGAGGGAGTGAACTCGCTTTCCTCCCCTGTGAAGAGTTTCCATACTTCCATTAATTCCCTCTGCTTTCTCTCTGCCATCCCACCTTCTCAACAGCCTGTGCCAAGGATCAGCAGCTGCCCAAATTCACTGGCCACTGAGCACCATTGCTCAGAAACATTTCTGTGTAAGCAGCAGGTTCACCCAGGGTACTCCAGCAGCCCTGCAGCCATTCCCCACTGGCACACAAAGAGCAGCTGGCTATTAAGACAAAGTTGTGACATCCATATGCTGCCCGTGCTCACTTTGGAGAAGCTGGGGAGACTGGTGCCTTGGGAACAGGGTTAAATGGAAATAAATAAATAAACCAGAAAAAAAAAAAAAGAACAAAATAAGGAAAAGAAGCGTCTAGTGAGTCTGTGGCTTACTGTGCCCTATATTCCTACAAATTCATTTTGCAGTCAGAAGGACACATGGGGTTTGAATAATTTTCTGCCTTTACACTTTCCCTGCCACCAGAAGTAACGTGGGGATGTTCTTCAATAAACAAATCTGCTCTTTTCTCTCAAGGTTTCTCTACACTCTGAGTGCATTGGTGACAGTAGATTATTCACTAGGGATATGAAAAAACCCAACAAAACCAACAGCCCATATTGCTGAAAACCCAAGAAGCTGAGCTGGCTAGGTCTCTGAAATATGGTATGAGCAAACAGAGAAATATAATAAAAATCCCCATCCAGCACAAACTGGGAAGTGATGGATGGAGGCCTTTCCTGCTGAGACTGTCTCCAGTTCCCATCCTTCTGAGCATGGCATTATCCATTTTGCACTGAGGGGGCACTCAGGCCAAAATTTAAAAGGTGACTGGCAAACACAGGAGGCCAAAGTGAAGCAAAAGAATGACAAAGAGAGCCTATGGAAGCTTTCTGTAAAACATGAGGGACCCCTGAGCCACATTAGATTATTTTTCTCTTTTTTTCCTCTGCAATTCTCTTATGGCAGACAATATTTCCTCTCCCCTTTCCTCTGCACCTGTACAGAGTGCCAGCTCCGTGTCTGGATGCAGGCAGGCTGAGAAGTGTAACTGTGCATTGGAGCTGCTGGAGCTGGGAGGCACATTTTTAGTGAGTAAAAACTACACTTCCATAAATGGCACACAAAAACTGCATTCCCAAATCTCACAGCACGTGGAACACACCCCTGGATCAGTCCCATCACCAGCCCTGCCCATTCCTGAGCAGGGCTGCTGGGAAGTGAGGCTGTGGGAGCAGAGCTGGACACAAATGTCACTGCTCCCATGCTCTCACAAAGGCCAGGGATGCAGCCTCGTGTGTTTGTCCCATTCTGCACAAGCCTGTGCAGAAACCTCGAGCCCATTACCTCCACTCCTCCAGATGCTCTCTGGGGGCTGGAGAAAGGCAGAGCTTCCTTCAGCTGCAGCCTCAGGAACAGCCAAATCTCTTTGGGAACAATCCCACCTGCACAAGCACCTCCTGCCTCTTCATCCTGGGTGTCCTTCCTTCCTTCCTCCCTGCAGTGAGGCACCTGTAAGGGACACACACAGCAATCACCTCTGGTGCAGGAAAAGCCCATCCTGCCCCTCCCAACCAGACTGTCCCTTGCCACATGTGATGCACCTCCATGCTTTAACTGCTGGTACTATTTCCATTAAAGGCTATTGGCATTTCCAGTAAAGATGGGCTGGAGACAAACCAGGATCTAATTATTAATTACATTTGGACCTGCATGCTCAGATGGGTAGGAGAAAATGTTCACTCAAAAGGAGTTTTTCCTTAACTCCAGCAGACCCTCGATTTTTCCACGGAATGTTTTCATTTTCAGCTGCAGTCACCAGGAATAACATTAATGACTTTCAGTGCAGGGCAGAAATAATTAGAGGCAGAGCAATTGTTCAGCTCCCATGCTTATGCTAAGAAAAGACTGAGAAGAATCATGCAAAGCTTGATAACCTGAGGGGGAAAAAAGCAAACAAGCACAGGGGTGAGGTCTAAATCAAATATGAAGCAATCTATATTTTCCATTAAAGCCATTGTGGGACTGGACATTTTGCAAAGGCCTTGATTGAAAACCATGGCAAAGTTAATGGGTTTGACTCCAATGAGCCTCAGCACTCCAATAAGGAACAGGGAGAAAGGAGGCCCAGGAAAGCAGAACTTGAAAAGAAACAGTAGTGCAAGACCATACAACAAAAAAGAAACCATTTCAATTGCTCTAGGAAGGAGTATCAGCTGCCTTGTCCTCAAAACTAGAGGGAGATTCAACAGTGCAGAATCTCATTAGAATTTCAGCAATATATTTTTTTTAAAAAGCATAGCAGTAAGATTTACCATATTGTCTCAATATACTGAAAGCTTTATTATTTATTCTTTGACAAGTGGTACTTTTCTAATTCTTTACTTTTAATAAAAATCAGTAGAGATGTGTACTGAATGAAAGCTAATTAGCACATTCATATCTGTCAAAAATTCAACAACTTTTGTACTCATATTTTTTGGTTCTTTTGTGGTCAGTTTAATTACATTTGTTGATGAAATAAATGAGGCTATTAAAAAATTAATAGTTTAGGCTAGGTTTTTTCAAAGGCAATTAGTAGTGAGAGCCCATTAAACTAAGGAGGGAATCATACCAATAGTTTCTAGGGCTTTTTTAATGTTACCCTTGAAATTTCAGTATAATCAGGAAAGATCCCTGGAATCCAGGGATAGGAAAATATTGTTGAGGTGCTGAGAAAGAGGAGTTCAGAGCTGCAGAGCTGCTGACAGCCTCCTGCAGTGGGTGCTCTGTTTCAGAGGCTGTGATTTCAAGAGGAAGAAAAGTGGGTCATAAATGCTACTGGTAGCTGGAAATCAGGAGATGAAAACCACTTCAGAACATTGAAGTGTGGCAGGTCTGATTACAGCAATCAAAATGTTTTCCCATTTCACTACAGTTTGCCTTGAACAGCAAGGTTAAGGAAAAAAAGCCTAAAAACCCCCCTATGGCCCTGACCTGTGCAGTGTGCCCGAGTGTCACAGCCTGACAGGGATGCACAGCACTGACCCAAAGCTCACGGGGGATTTCTCGTTCTGTGTTGCCAGCCAGAGCCACTCCTGCTGCTGCACCTGGTGTTTCACTCCTGCCCCTGCTCTGAGCCCTTGCTGCTTTGGGATTGAGCATTGCCTGCTGCCCACAAAATTCCTGCAGAGCCACTTCCACCCTCCCCATCACCTGAGCGCTGAGTGTGTGCCCTGCCTGGTGCCTGGGCCCTGCCAAGGGACAGCAAAGGGACATTTGTCCCATTTGTCCCAGGGCCTCCCTTTGCTCTCATGGCCATGAGTGAGCAGTGGGTGCTCAGAGCACCTGGGCACAGCCTCCTGGGGGAAATCCTTCTCCTGCCTGGAGCCAGCACATCTCCAGGGATCACTGCATAAAGCCCTGCACTTCCCCAGAGACCCCAAACACACAGTGACACCTACAACAAAAGCTCCAACATCCAGCCCTGCTGGGTCTCCTGGAGCAGCAGAGCACAGGGCACAAACATCAGTGACAAATGTGGGGTCATGCCCACCTTGAGCCAAGGTGACTCTGTGCTGCTGCCAGCCACAAGTCCTCTCTTCCTCTGCCAGCTGCCTCAGCAAGCTGATCCCAGCTCCTCTGAAGCTGTGCTGGGCTGATGAACTGTGCAGGGCTTCAGCAATGCATCAAGTGGGTGTATTGAAGGCACTAGAAAAGAAACAAACAAACCCACAAAGAAAATAAACAAACCTGAGTACCAACGGCAGTACCCAGGGCAGATTAAAAATACAAATAAACAAAATAACTTCATGTGGATTAAATCCTAATCCTCAAGGATGAGTTGAGCACCAATGTGCACACGCCTTGTTTATTATCCTGTGAGATATTATTTCCTGAGAATTGAAATAAAGCCTTACAGCAAATAATTAAGACCAGATTTAGTGATATGGAGTGTTCATTGCCTGCCTTTTAAAAACTGATCTACCTGCTCCTGTTGCTGAGGTTTGTCCAATACCAGGTTCCACAGCTCTTTCTCCAGCAGAGGAAGCCACTGCTGTTCCACCCCAGATTTTTATTACACTCTTCCATTTTTTTAAGCAGTGTAATATAAAGCCCATTTTCAAAAGTGAAAGCAATAATGGGACTGAGATAAACTCTGTGCAAGGGGAGGTACTGGGCAGTGCCACAGTCTGGGATACTTTAGATGAGGTGTCAACAGTGTATAGGCAACAAGCTGACATGAATCCCGAGGAATTTAACTTTTGAAGAACCTTAATTCCTTCTTTACTCCAGAAAGATCTCTTGAACCTTTTTCACAGCTTTATGTGGCTCTTTAAGCTACATCAGCAGGATGTGCAGCAGCTTGTAGATAGAGCAATTAAGTTACAAGCAAATGTACGTAAAAACACAGTGTAAGAACATCTTAAAAAATGGACTTTTCAGAAAATCAATACATTTTCACTGAGGCACATCACCCAGTATCATCATCATCATCAAATGCTGTAGCAAAAGGCATCAAACCCAACCCCACCAGGGAAAGCAATTCCACTCCTGATGAACCCCCAGGGCCATTCCAAACAGCACAGCTTTGCACAAACAGCTTCCACACTCCTTGGAGTCCCACTTGGATCTCGGCTCTGTCACTCTGCACTTCCATCTCTGCATACTCAAAATAATAAGAAGGAAATTCTAATTCCTGGAGGGAAAGGGATTTTTGTTTTACCCAGCTGTGAGTAGCGTTATCCCAACCTGAGGTGAAAATAGCAATGAATCAACATTTCCTTAACTCACTTCACTCTAACCCTGGCATTACACTGACCCCTGAGGAAGGGAACTTTTTTTCACTGCCTGCAGCAGCAGCACGGGAGCACCTATTGGCATCTCTCAGAAGTGAGAGAGACTTCCCAGCTTTTCAGGCACAGAGCTGAGGTCTCCCTTTGAGAGCAGGTATTACAGATGGGTATTTCTTTCTGAGGCACACAGCATTTTACAATGGAACCCAATGAAGTAGCTCTAAGGTATTTCCTGCAATCTATTTCAATAAAAGAAAATACAAGCCACTAAAGTGTCTCATGTAAGCACTGAGGATTTAAGGAATTACTTAAACAATGAGTGCATGGAGCTATTAACCTTCCTGGAGGATTAAAATGTGCCCCTATGTGATGAACCAAAGGCAGCAAGTCATTTCCAGTCTGCAGAATTGATTTTGTACATGTGACAGAAATATAAGTACAAAAATATCAAACTGTTGTATCTAGAGAAAACTACACCAGACTTCCAGACCATGAGCACACCTTTGCAACAGCTTTTATTTGGTCCATTTGTTACCTCCTGGCAGTGGCACAGAGCCAGCAAGGTTATAATGTGGTAGTTACCCTCAAGTAAAGGCACAGGCTAGTGAAATTTGCCATTTTTTAGTTTTATTTCATTGCAATATTCTGCTGTGCTGGAAATATTAGGAGGATCAGCGTGGCTAAATACAATTTTGCTCATGCACAGCTTACTGCATAAAAGCAGCAGCAACCAAAGAGCCCTGATAGCAGAGTGAAGTGGGTACAGGTTATCTCTGTGTGTCGGGCATTTAACAGGAAAAGTTATAATGGGAAAGGCTTGGAAAATTTAAATCACTTTCTCTCTGAAACAGGTCACAGCAATGTTCTCTGTTTAAAGCAGCTGCAACAATGATACTGTGAGATTAAATAAAACACAAAAGGGATAAAAGAATTATCATATATTTAAAAACCACACAAAATCAAAACCAAAGAGCAGAAATGAGAACAATGAGAGGCATTTTTTCCACTCACTGAAGTGTCCTACTACTTAAAGAAGCCCTTCCTGGTGTCCTTTTGCATGTGCCTGGTTCTGTGTGTCCCCATCACTTCATTTTCCATTGGCATTATCATTATTTTATTAGCACTAAGATGTCACTGTCAATTAGCAACTGAGACCTTTGGGATCCCTGAAAGTAGCCACTTGGCCATCAGGTCATATCAAAACACCACTACCATAATATTTATCAGTTTGGGTTTTGGTTGGTTTTTTCAGTTTTTACCAATCTGTTCAGCCCCTGAGACATGTTCATTTTAGTGTTGATGGTATCACACAGTGCCTGTGCACTCCCTACACAATTAATAGCATTTTGTACCTGCATGGAGAGGCCCAAGAGCTCCTAGACACAAGACAATTAAACACCGTGGTGAGGAGATGTGCAGCTGCTCAGGGCTGAATGCAAACAACAGTTCACTGGCAGCTTCCAGGAGATGAAACACAACAAGCTGAATTCTAAAGCCAGCTGAGATGTGTTGTGCCTCTCGATGGAAGATCTCTCTGAATGACCAATTTAAGTATTTTTCAACCCCTTGTACTGAACACAAGACAGATGGACCTGAACAGGTGAGAACCTGGGCAACCTCTGGAGTTCAGTGAGCACCTCTGTGTCCCTAATGCCTGTGAAGGCTCTGCAGAGATGGAGACAAACTGTCATTTGGAACCAGCCCCGAGGTGTGTCCTGTGTCTCAGAGCACTGACAGAAGCAGCTTTAGCCCAAATCCATGAGTGAGTTCACTACAGGCACATTGCTGGAGCAATGTGACAACAGCACCCATCGAGCTACTGCTGCACATCAGCAGCAGGACACAGGCCACAGCTGTGACCTGGTGTGAGGCCTTGGAAAGGAGTGTGGGGCTGGACCTGCAGCATGGCACAGGTAGAGCTGACTGTTCATTCCCTCTCCCACCCTGATTTCCCAGGGATTCACTGCCCAGTCCCACCCATGCAGGATCTCAGCAGTTACACAGCTCACTGCCAACGAGCAGACTGCACCAGGAGAGGATCAGGACTGGGACATCAGGATATGGCTCAAAGTTCTGCTTCTGTGCAGGGAGGCCAAGCTTCAGGGCTGGGAATGTGCACATGAAGAAGCACAATGTGCAAAGTGAGGCAACTGCTGTAGTAAAGGTTTCAAACCTATTTGTGTCAGCACAGCCTTATATCCAATTTTATTAATTCTGGTTTTAACAAATCTGCCTAGCTCAAGCTGAAATATTTTGAACTAAATCCACTTCTGAGCCCCTTCTTCTCTCTATCAGATGGAAAGAGGAACAATCACAATTACAAATTTGCAATAATATCAACACCAATCTGTTGGTGAGATTTTAGTGTTGGCCTGTGCATCAGGACATGGGGTGTGACTGCAACAGCTTGGGGATGGCCACAGTGAACAGCAGAGTAAAGGGTGACTTAAACTTCTCTACTGAAAATTTGTCTGGCACCAGAGTGAACAGGGGCTGGTGAAACAAATACTTAACTCAGCACATGAGGAAAATCCACGGCCTGTAGTGAACAGGACTGGGTTCTGCCCAGGAGTCAGCAAAGAATAAAAGGCACCCCAGAATGGGAGCAAAGCATTAGGCCTGAGAAGAGAAATTTTGCATGACAAAGGAAAAATAAGGATGGAAAGTAAGTACAGAAAGAACCTTTTCTTAGCATAGAACATTTCAGTATTAGTGCATATTTTATAAGCAAGCAGCAGCATATGTTTCTTGACTTTCACTGTTACAATTGTCCACAGTTAGCTACACCCATAAACAAAACCTGTGAGGAGGAAACAGTGTCAGAATACAGATAAATTAACATTTACCCCTGAAATCACACGCCTCCAGCTGGAATAGGAGATGTCAGCATACCCACATGCTGCTAAGAGCTGCCCTGTTGCTGACTGGTACCACATCCCCAAACCCGACCCCTCTGCCCTGGAGGGAGGAATGGGAGCAGGAAGCTGCCTGGAAGTCACTGGCTGTGACCACCCGGCACAGCAGCTCTTTTCACACTTATCAATGAGAGCTCCTGCCTGTGCACAAACCTTCCCCAGCCCTCTCTACACTGAGCACTAAGTGCATTGCAATTCCAGCCTTCTGCTTCCCTGGGAACAGAATGTCATTCCTTGTACATGTCAGGGGCTTGGGCCAACACATACTTGGAGCTTTAGCCTGCAGTAACAGGTAATGCACAAACCCTGCTCTTGGCCAAATCTTCCACACTGAGCCAATCTGACAGGGGAACCACTGGGGCAGAATGAATGCAAATCAGGATGCCAGTTTATTTTCCAGTCAGTTCTGCACACAAATGGAATCTAATCCAGTTATGGTAAATCGTGAAAATCTTCATGTAAGGGTGAAACACATGTAAATCGCCATTGTGATTTCTTAAACTAAAGAAATTATCATTATTCTCTGCAGCAGAAAATTCACTTGCCAAGAGAAAATTCAAAATAATAATAGCAGGAACACACATTCCTCAAATGCATTCTGCATCTTCACAAATAAGGTCCCTGGATGTTCTAGAGGCCAATCCATGATTACACAGGCAAAGTGTCTCGGCACAAAGCAAATTATCTGCTCGCACATGGAGAAACAAAACAGCGCCATTCAAACCCAAGCACGGCCCTGCTGGCTTGGAACTTAGCTGCATAAAAATATGATGCAAACCCAGAGGTTTGCCCTCAAACTGCTCCACAGAAACTGTACAGACTGTTCTATGCTGACATAGGTTAGGAGCCATTTGGTTCCAGAAAAAAAGCCAAGGCTGTTTAACTGCATGACGCGAATTTAAAATCCTCTCAAAGGTTGGTTGTTTTGGTTTTGTTTTTTTAAATTTCACAGCACTTTATCAGCAACTCAGTGTTTTGTTTTGTTTTGTTAGAGAAAATGAGATGATGCCTAGAAATATAAAGGGATTCCAAAAGCATAGCGAGGACAATAAAGTGCAGCTCCTGAGCCTCTTCTTGCAGAACAGAAACTTGTTTTTTCTATTGTAACCCTGTTACACAGAAAACAAAAACAGATTTGTGAAACCCTCGCTAATGTGTGCGCCTACTGAGCCACTGCCTTTGTCTGATGTATTTTTATGTGTTGCCCTCATTTCACACTTCCTCAGTTCTTTGCCCAAAACCTGCAGAAGCCAAAACACAGATCCTCAACAGTTCCACCTGTGCCCCCTCAGGCTCCTCCTGCCACCATCTGATTTAGGATCCCACACTGTTACACAAAGCACATGATGAACATCTGAGTTCAAACTCAAGAAACTGAGAAATGACTCTGAAGTGACAACACAGGATGTGTAGAGCCAAAGGCCAACACTCACCTTCTGTGGCTGTGGGGTCAGCAGCAGCAGGATGCACATTCAGAGAAGTGCCCCCCTGCCCAGCACAGTATCTGTGACCATCCCCTGTGGACTGCAGGTAAGGCTCCTTGTTTGTGCAGCAATCCTCATTGCCTCCCAACAGCCAGGAATGGAAAGGTCACAGGGCTTAAAGCATTTCCCACCTATGACAGGTCTGTCAGGCAGCACCAGCTGGGCAATAACTTTTAGCCATGAAAGCTCCTGAGAGTGGGAAGTTCATGGCCAGAGCCACAAGCACATGGCATAGACCGATGTCCAAAATGCAGCCTGGGCACGGCGCTCCCCCTGACAGCCAGCAGTACCTGACCCTGCCAGGTGCTCACCACAGCCTCCAGGTAAATAACACCTGCTGAGCTCAGCTGGGATGACTCCCAAAGCCTCCCTCCAGCCAAGTGCAGATTTGTGGCCTCCTCTGAGCTTCCAGTGCTCCCTGATTCCATCCCTGTTCCATGGAACACTCTCAATATCACTTTAGACTGGATACTGAAATCACTTAGCAGCAATAAAAAAGAAAAGCACCACAGAATTGAATCCCATTTTGCCCAGCACACATCTCTAAACTATTACCAGTGTGAAATGAAATCTAATGTCTCCCTTAGCAATCCCATCTTCTTTGCCCTTTTGTTTTTCTAGGAGCAGTATGATACACTAAATCCATTTGGACACACAACAGCACACAGCTCAGAGCACAGGTTTCAAGAAGAGATTTCCAAATGTCTGTAGCCAGCACAGCAGGTTGCTTTCAGCTCTCACACTCTCACATAAAAATCCATTACTGAAAGCAGAAGGAGACAGTGCAAACACCTCAGTGTGCTGCTTTGGGCTGGGGCAGCTCCCCAGTCCTCCCCAGCAGCTGCTATGGGGCTGGGTTCTGGATTTGGGCTGGAAACAGTGCTGAGAATTTGGGGATGTTTTCATTGCTGCTGGGCAGTGCTCACACAGAGCCATGGCCTTGTCTGCTCTCCTGTAACCCAGTTCCTTTTCCTTTGGTGGATTCTCGTGCTGTACACACAGAAAATGGGATTGAATTGCTGCAGTTTCAGCTGATGCCCCTTCAGGAACTCTGCAGTGGCACGAACACTGCCAGAAAATGGGACCTGCTGGGATCCCAATGCCCTGACTCTCACAGGAAGAGCAGGGCAGCTGCCCTGGGCTGTGCTGTCAGAGGGTGTCAAACGCTCCCTGAGACTCAGCCTTCCTTTCCTGCTTTGGTGATGCCACCTCCTTCACCCAGCCCACATCTCCTGTTCCCCAGCACTGCTGGAACAGTGCACACAAGGCAGGTGACTGATGTGCAGAGCCAGCTAAGTGATGATGTGCAGGGCAAGTGAGGATACAGCGTGCCTCAAGGAGGGGTTCTGGGGAAGGATTTCTGCACTGTCAGTCACTGAGAACAGATGCAGCTCATGGAGCTAGGGCACAAAGCTCATCTGATTGCTCCTGGCCAAGTTTAGATGATGGCCAGTCAACAAAATGCGATGTCCAGGAGACTGTGAAACTAAACCCTCTGGAAACATGTCCAGAGAATAAACCAAGTGTAAGGCAGCACTGCACTAATAAATCAGCTGAGCCCCTCAATGTAACAGAGTCAGATTTGTGTGCAACGAGGCTGTTTGACCCGTCTGAGTGGCCTGTCAGAGCTGTTCTGTCACACTGATACACATAATTACTTGCACTGGGCAAAGCACAGTCAGCTGCCAGGTTTTCTCAAGTTTAATAAAGACTATTACTTCCTGCAGTCTCTCTAGGTAGCTGCCTGGTCCCATGTCTTGTTGGATGGCATTTTTAACTCCTCACTGTTATTTCTGGAGTTCCAAAAATGTCAGAAAGACAGGATCTGGCATTGGGAGCCTTTGATGCAGCTCATCAGAATTACAGACTGACTGGTTACAAACTACAAACTCCTAAACAAAAATAAAACACTGTTGGAAGGGAAGCTTGCTAAATATCTGCACTGCTGATCTTGCTCAGTCAATAACAATGGTGTATGAAAGATGGAAGTATCAAATTTAGCAAAATAAAAGCTAAAGCTACTTAAAATATATCCCTGTTCTGCAGACAACAACAGGGAATATATTATTGATTACAAGGCAGCTAATTATTTCATGGAAGGATATGTACACAGGTTTTCTCCATCTGACTTTCAGACAGAGCCTGCCAATCAGTGCTGGGCCAGAGCACGAAGCTTTTGCTGGCATTAAAGAGCATCTCATGGTGCAGAGCAAGGCAACATTTGGCAACAATAACATGACCACAATCTGTCCTCTCATTCATGCTCAAAGTTCAGCAGAATCCTGCAGGAAATTGTACTTCCACCATTTTGTTTTCCATGTGTAACATAAAACTGCTGCTTGAATGAAAGCACTGAACCCCGCTGCCCAAAACCACTTTGAATGGGGAAATGGATAACTGCAAAACTGTACTGAGTTTCTCCCACTTTTAGAATCAATGGCAAAAGGCACAGTTCAAGCACAGGGAATTCCCACACTAAGGCAGAAATGGAACAGGCTGGCCAGTTTGGCACTGAACATCCAGAAGCTCTGCCCACAAGGGGAGCTCCCAGCCCCAGAGCTGAGACAGCAAAGCCCACACCACATCCCAGCCTGAAGAGGCTCCATCTCGGGCAGGGGAGCTCCCTCTGCCCATTGCTCACCCTGCACTCACCTTTCATTCTCCACATCCCAGGTGACAAGGGGGCTTTTCTCTTTCCTCAGATGGATTTCCTTTCTCCAGTAGTTTCTTTAAACAACAAAATCAAGAAAATGATAATCAGTACCAAAAAGAGAAAGAGAGTTCTTGTTTTCTAGCCCAAACACAGATTGGAGGATGCAGAATAAATGTCTGCTCCTAATTTTCCCTGATTATACTTGAGATACTAATATTAACAACCACTGCAATTTGCACTTAGTTCCCTGGAAGGAAATTTCACTCAAAGTCATTAATCTTTCTTTAGTTTTTCTGTTTCCACAGGCACTGAAAACAGCAAAAGAAGGACTCCTGGGCTGAGGAACAGATGGGTGGAAGGACAGGTAGAAGGTGCCTTTCTGCAGTGCAGGTGTGAGATTCATTTCTACACAGGTTCTCTCCCGTTCCTAGGCCACATTTCCAGGAGACAGATGTTCCAGCTTCATGTATGGATTTCTGCACATGTATAATCTGGGTGGAAACCTCTTGTCACCATTTATATATTAATCATATCCCTACTGCAAACAAAGGTCAGAAGCTCTTAGATGGAAAAATATTGTTCCTCTGGGTACAAAAAGTTAGCCCAGCACTAAAAGCCCTGGTTTTTGCTGCTTTCCCCCAGTCAAGGCTGTGTTTGTGTCTCTCAGTTGAGGTGTATGGCAGACACCCATTTCACGGCATCTACAGGCTGTGTATGTTATAACAGCATCCTCATCTCAAAATTAATTTTATTTTGTGGGACACTGCCTCTTAAAGTGCCTTTAACACATAAACGTGAAGGGAGACTATTAGCATGGCTGTTAGGCCATAATAAAGAATGTTCATGACTTGTCTCTTAATTGTGCTTTTTCACTCTCATCCTGTGGCAGTACAATTCCCTTTTCAACCACAAACCATGCCCATGACATACATATAATGCAGTAAAACTGATGCACATAAGAGGAATGAATTACATTAATCTGTGCAATTGAATCAGAAGACAATGCAACTGCAGACAATTTGTAATTCAGGGAGCCTCAGAAGATTTTGAAAGATCCTGTTGCTGCAGAGAACTCTGGCTGTTTGGTTTATAATTTACAGCAGACACCTTTCCTATAAAACTTGCAAACATTAGATAAATGCAGTTGTTCGGTTTGATTTTTTTTCCCTAAATAACTCCTTAACAAAGGCTGTTCTCCCACCCTTTTTTACCGTGTCATATTGGCACACAGCTGTTGAAATGGGGACAAAAATCAAAATCTTGTGTCGGCCGTGGTTTGTACTTCCATGATAAGCATTGGCCTGCTTAGGTAAGACAGAACTGGTGACTGAATTCTGCAACATTAATGATGTTTCTTCTAAAAGAAATCAGTCTTCCAGACCAGAGAATACCCTGTTAAAGCTGGAAACGCTGGGGGGAAAAATTGAATGACAAAGTATTCCCTGCTGTTGGAATTTGCCTTGTCCCACACTTATAATTGCAATGCAGTATTTTGTTCCGTACACAAATGTTGACAACTTTGTTTTTCTCTAATCTGAATAATTTCATATTGAACTGAAGCAGTAATATCCTCACGGGAATTGGCTTAAAGCAATGAAGGGAGCTTTTACCAAATGTTCTCCAAGAAAAGCTGATGTTTTGAATAGAACTGGGAGACAGGCACAGCACTGAACCAGATATTCTGGGTTCCACGTGGTGCAGTCCACAGAGACAAACCAGATGTTTAGCACTACTGCTGATACACTTGTGTCCATGGGGAATTTTGCCATTTATTTAGAAAACATTTTATTAAAAAAGTCAAAAACCCCAGCACATCAGCAGCATGTGGTTTGTTATAGCAAATGTACAACCCAAGGTGTTGGAGAATATCAGATTTCTCTTTTAAAAAGAAGGGCTTAAAAAGCATTCAAACAGTTCAGCTTTAAAAAGCACAGTCTTTGTTATCTCAAATAGGCCAGGCTGCTGCAGCCCAACTATTTCTGAATAAAAGCAGGTCACTGGTAAAAAGAGGAGATTTGTAACATTGCAAAAGAGATTGTCAGATACAAGCAGCCATGGGAATAATGTGTGGGGTCTTGCAATAGCTCCCACAGGATAAGATGAGGAATATGGGGTTGGACTTTTTATGCTTTTATGCTTTTTGTTCTGTGTGAAGACAACAGCTCTGAATTTTGAAAGAATGAACTTTTTTTCAGCAGGCTAAAGATACCTACAGTTTTCAAAAGTCACTGGAATTGGGTGTTCCTGGGTCTTCAGCCATCTTTTAAACAGACCAAAGCAAATCACTGGCACTGCAAATGGGTCTCAGTGCCACCAGAACAGAAGGACAAAAGCAGAGGCTCTGGCACTGGCTGCCACCACCCAGCAGTGACACTGGCTCCACTGCCACCAGCCAAAGCCATGCTCTGTTACTCACCTCCCACCTGCTGCCTTTCTCTCCTTGCTCTGGAAGCTCACTGCTGTTTGCCAAAATCCCTCAGCCCAACCCACTCCATGGAGCACCAGGCTGGGAGGGAAGCTCCAAGAATTGCCCCTGTGGAAGAGAGGAGGAACAAGGACTTTGCTGCTGGTCCCTGCTGTGCTGCTCTGAGCCCAAACTGAGCTACCCTGGGTACCTGTGGTGCCTCTCAGCCCCTGACAGCCTGAGCAGCCCTGGGTGCTGTGGCTGGCACCTGTCTCTGCATGGGCTGGACACCACTGCACTGCTTTAACCACGGTACGCTGGAAAATGGAGCAGGGATCTCAAGGGCCTTCAGCTGCTAACCTCAGGAAGCAGCTTGAAAAATATTATTATTGCAGCTGTTAATAGCTTCCAAAAGGATCACTCCCAGGGCTGCAAGGGCTCATTGACTTCACACAGGCACATCCTTCTCCGAGGTTAAATAGGAATGGTTTGTGACCACACAGTTGAGAGCAGAATTACCTAATGAAGTGCACTTGCCTGAGCACAGCCAGCTCACACAAAGCTTTCATGCAAAGGTAAAAAGGTGCTTTTAATGTGAAAACCTGCTTTTGTTCCCAGCTTGGGAATGTTGATGGGAAATTGTGCTTCTAGGCTCCGGCACACGTGTATGCATAAATACACAGAGCTTTGCTAGCATTTGCACCATTGTGGTCTCAAAGGGGAAGAGGTCTGAAAAACAAACTTGGTTTTGCAAAAGGACAGAAATGAAATTACCCAAGTTTGAGCACGTTAGTAACAGTGACAGCCAGACTTACCACGTTAAATCCACTCTGTTGAGAGGCTCCCCATGAAACAAGGCACAAAAGCCAGAAGGAGACACCTCCAAGGCAATACTGCAGAGCTGGGCATTGAACCTCTCCACCCTAGGGATGAGAAAAGAGGGCATTAGGCTCCAGCATTTCAGGGGGAGCTGGAGGGAAAAGGTGATGATGAAGTGATGGACAGCACGTCCATGGTAGCTAACATGATGATAAACTCATTTATTCTCACACCATAATTCCACATCATATGGAGACATTAAAAAATAATTACTCTGAAAATCTCAACTGAAATTCCAGGCGTGATTCTTTTGACTTTGCCAGCAATTTCTCAAACCAGCTCTAAGAGCAAGGCAGACAATATTTTTATACTTTCATTAGATCTGTGGAGTATCTTTCTGTGCATAGTGCAAGCTCCCTTTACTCTCTTCCTTTCTCTTCTTCTCACAGGTGATACTTCACTGGAATATCAGTCATGGATAGAAGTTACTTTCCTTCCTAAGAAACACTGGTGGCTCAATGTGCTCACCTTGTACACAAAAGAGCTCCCAAGTGTATAGAAGAGAAAACTGAAGAGAGACAATCACAGCTGCCCTGGAGAATAAGATTCATGGTCTGCAACAGAGCTTTCACATGATGCTCAACTGCACATTATGAGAAGAAAGAATAAAAAAAAGACAAATATTTATGTGCTTCTCACCCTCTGGGAGCCTGACTCCCAGTCTGACTGACAAATCCCCAAAAATTCATCTCAAGAGCTTAGTGAACCCCTAAGACCTGCTCTCCTGCCTTCCTCCATGACATGAGCCATGGAATTTCACCCAGGCATTGCTGTCTCCATACAGAACGTGGTCTGACTAACAAAATCCAGCATTTCTGACTGGATAACTGCCAGCCCCCACCTTGACAGTGTAATCAGATTGGATTGCCTACCAACAGCCAGAACATTAGCCAGGAAAGATCCTGCTAAGCAATGCTTACCATTTTAGATTTGTATTTCTGGAGTTTTTTCATCTCTTATTGAGCTCTTGAGAACAAGTAAGACATGAGCATTATCTTCTGCATCTTTTCCCACTATGCAACAAGAAAAAAAAGTACTAGCAACACTCTAATGAACTGGTACAAAACAGAAGATTCACACGATTGTCTATGCTCAAAACACTAAGCAATGAAATACAAAGACAAAAGAGACATCAAGTCAGTATTATCATTGGATTAAAAAAAAAACAAGCAAACCCTTCAAACCTGTTTGTTAAGCAATGCTGCTTGGGAATACTCTCCTTGCTGTTCTAATTGCTTCCCCACTGGGAGGAAGGTGGAATGCATGTGTTGATTAGACTACAATTTCCTTCTAGAAGGGCTGTTTGACTTCCAAGTAACACTGAAACACAAAAACCTCTCTTGATTTACATACAAACTACTCTGATGAGCAAACGTCTTTCCCTGGCAATAGCTGAACAAGGCAGGCTGTGACTGAAGCTCCTCAGCTTCCTGCTCCTTCCCCTGCTCACACACTTCACATTCTGCAGGGAATGTGGGAATGGCTACTCACCATCCAGTTGGGCAGAAAATTCAGTAACTTTTAAGTCTTCAAATGTCCAGTCTCAGCTTCTTAACATTTTGCTTCAGCAAAGTACTTCAGTGTTGATGACAGTGAGGGGAACTGGCAGTGTTTGTTATCTGCCTTCTTTTAGTTATTCTGTGAAGTTAAAAAAGGAAAAATGCTTATTGGTTCATAGTCAGTTTCCACCTAACAGCTGAATGTGATTGAATTTTGGTTTTACTTGGAATAGATCTCTGACAGAAAATGCATCGTTGTTTTTAATTAATCCATTCAGGGACCCTAACTCTGCACAGAAGCTCACACTTTTAATGTAATTACTTCTAAAGGCTTTTTTCAGCACAGCATGGCTGTCTCTTCAGATTACTTATTATGTTTCTTTTCCTCTTTAGTCTTTGTTGGTGGAACGTCAGCTTTAAGTAGTGAATTCCACAGGCATGGGAATCCCCTCTGCAGAGGGAACTCAGCAGCTTCCCTCTCTCCTCAGAGTGGATCTGTCCAGCCCAGAAAGGGCTGCCAGCTCGGGGCACAGGCACAGAGCCTCTCCATCCCTCGTCCTATTGCTGAAGCTCTGTGTTTGCAGCCACCAGAGGCAAAGATGTGTCAAGAGCATTCTCTCAACACTACAAGTGTAAAAAGAAAAAGCACAACTCTCTGGTGCATCATCTGTGACACTCACCCAGGAACCATTCTGTTCAATATTTAATCCTGAGCTTCCTTTAGCAGCTTGCTCAACTGTGGGATGAAAGAAAGAGAAAAAAAGGGAAGGGGAATAAAAGAGATACAATTAGCCCAGAGTTCCCATCACCACCCTTGAGAAATCAAAGCTCTTTATTCTCTCCCACTCATTCCACTCATGTTTAAGCACTCCTATGTCAAATACAGCAGATTGAAAAGGAGTTACTGAGAAATACTTTTCCTCAAGTAGCCCAACAATTCGAGTGCTGTTGTGAATGGAAGGAGCTCTCTTGGCCTTAGCTAAGCTACACACAAGAACTAAAGCAACACACTCAGCGAGGCAGGAAAAAAGCCTCCCTCATTCCCTGCAGATGGTGACAAAAAGGGTACAAGGAAAGGGCTCAGCTCCACACTCCAGGAAAGGCTGCTGGTGTCACGAAGGGGACAGGACATGTCTGTGCTGCTCTCAGGAGACAGTGGCATTGCCAGCCTTTCCCTTTCTGCAGGGAAGGCTCTTGCACAGGTCAGTGACTCAGGTGTTAGGGGTGAGTGGTGCCACCGAGCTGTTTGTCACCCACAGGCTGGATCAGCCTGGAGCTGGGAATGGAGCACCTGGGCAGGGACACACAGGCACAGCTCCCTCTGAGCGCCGTGCAAAGGAGCAGCTCCATGGCTCAGTGCCCATCACCCGCTGGGCAGACACAGGAACCACTGCCAGGGTGAATCCCTCTCTGCCTGCTGAACATGCTCCTTCAGCAGCTTCTGCTGCTCATCTCCATCTTTTGCCACAGAAGCTGTGGCTGCCAGAGTGAATGGGCTCAGGTTAGTGCAGATCACATCCCACAACCCTTCCCAGCTCCTTCTGGGCTGCCACACCCTATTAGTCTCCCAGTGTCACAGAAAGGGATTTAAACCAACACTGAAGAGAGCAGGGATGAACAGGCAGGGAAGCACACGGCTACCAGAGCAGCCACTGCCATCATGGCACACATACCCACTGTGTGTCTCCACTGGGCCTCCCCTAACAGTGGCTGGGAGTTGCACAGACTCCATCCCATTTGGGATGGGAGCTGGAGATGCCAACTGAGCCTGCCCTGCCCACTGTGGACAGCCTTGAAGCCACTGACACCCACAGGACCTTGAGGCCTCAGCTCCAAGGCCACCAGTGCAGCCTCTGCTCCACCAGGCTCAGATGGAATTGCTCATGCTGGGACAAACCAGCCTCAAAGCTCCTCCATTCCCTGGCCACTCTTTGTACCTCTGCCATGTCCTCCTTGGCCCTGGATGCCCTCTCAGGGATGTCTGTGCCTTCTTCCTGATCCTGCTGGGGCTGCTTCAACTCTGGCTCAACAGGAAAGCCCCACGGCCACAGCAACTCTGCAGTTCAGGCCCTGCCTGCCCACCTCTCCTCCCTCCAACCCAGCAGCGCTGCCCCAGCTCAGCCTCCGCAGCTGAGCCCACGTGGCTCTGGGCTCTCCCTCCATGGGTGGGAGCCCTGGAGTCTGCAGGGGCAGCTGCTGGTTCCAGGCTGTTCCTGCTGGATCAGGACTGCTTCCCTGTGTGCTTCCCTGCTGTGCTGGCACTTCTGCTGTCACACAGCTCTGCTGCTCTGCCTCGCTCCCCACAAATCCCCACTGCTGGCTACACCATCAGCTTAGCCCAGGGCTTTCTTCCAGCTTTACAATATTTAGAAAAAAGCTTTCCCAAAGAACACAAAAACGTAAAGCAATGTTACAAATGCAGGCTTGTAGCAATATTTACAGATTTACAGAGTTCAAGGCTGCTGTGCCTCTGGGTTAAAATGCTGTGTTCCCACTGACCCATCCAAACCCTGCCAGCAGGGATAGAAGGGAACAGCCCAAGGGGTGGTAAAAGCTCATTGCAGTGGGTGAAGGGGCAGCTGCTGGGCACCTCCCACCACCATCCTGCCCCAGCCAAAGCAGGAGCACTCCCATTTGATCTCCAGGCACCAGGCTTGCAGCTGTTAACTGCTGCCACAAACTGAATAGACACGGAGCAGCTCCAGAAGTACCAGTCTGGGGTGACAATTTTCTGTCCATATGAAACCTGACATCTTGGGGAATAAATGGTGCCTGGACACATGCAGGCATTTCATAGCTTTTGGATATTATCACCAACAATTATTTCTGCTTCACTTGCACTTTTTGCAGGTTTTAAATATTTAGAGGTCAGCTTGTTCAACAATTATTTTACTTGATTTTTGATATTTGCTTTTTAACTGTCATACCTTCTTTGTCACTGCTTCAGCAGTCTGAGACCTCACATTTCTAACTTACTAAGAATCCATAAAGGGGTTTGGTGCTGGTTCTGATACACAGATTCACTCACCACACAGTCATTTTCTCACCTTCAAGTCCCATTGACATGCCCTGGCTACAGTGCTCTCCTCAACAACTGCTCAGGTATCCTGACTCTGGTTTTCTAGAATAAAACCCCAAACAAGCCACACCTAAAACCTAATTATTTTTGCACATTTTTTCACACCAAAGGGACTTTGGGTGTACAGAATTGGTGGCACACGGCTCCTGAGCTCCCTTTCCATTTTAGGCATGCTGCATTTCTGCTTATTTCCTAGTAAAGCATGCACTAGTAGCAGATTTCCTGGCTGCAACCCAACAATTGCACTGATCTGTGTGCTATACTGCAGTCTGAGAGAAGTCAGCATTTCAGCCCCACCCCTCTTACACCCTCCTGGTACTGAAATATGGAGGGGAGAGGCTCCAGCCTCAAGGGCTGGCTGCTCTCCTGCAGGTGCATAAATCAGCTCCCAGCCCTGAGGCTCTGTGCCAGCAGGGCCCTGGGATTTAGGGGCTGCAGACACGGCTCAGGTGCAGGGCCAGTCTGAGAGCAGAGACAGCTGTGCCCAGACACAGCAGTGCTGCAG